GGACAAGGAAGTGCACGGTGACACAGCTTGAGCCTCGAATCTGATGTGACTTGGGACCAGCATCATTTCAGAAAGTGTGTGTGGACACTTGTTTTGAATGACTGATTGGAACGATCATACCTTCAGCTCTCTTGCTGAAATTCCCTTCCCTACTTCTCCAAACTTAGTTTCCTGGTATAATTTTAACCTCGGGCGCCTTTGGGCATGCTGCAGGCAGGTGTCATAGCTTTCTCCTCTGGTGTAGGGTCACTGTTGACACTGACTTGGGTTATAATGTTGTTTGGTAAGATTTTTGTTGCTTTAGCTTCTGATGCTATGAGACGAAACAATCCCACAGCAAAGCCCTGGTCACTGGCTCTTACCATGTTCATCCTCCCTTTCCCACATGCTCCCTGGGTCTTAGGTGCATGTATCTACTGGGACCTCACCCCACAAATCCACGTTTTGATTGGTTTTGGTTTTCTGGAATATATGTATATAGGCAAAGGCATAAATGCCTATAAAAACAATTTATGATAAAAGAGTCCACAGAGTGGAAGAACAGGGAGGGGGTATATGTAAGGGTTTGAAGGAGGGGGGAAATGTAACTAAATTACAATCTCAAAAATAAAAGTAAGAGGAAAGAAAAAAGAAGGAAGGGATGAAGGAAAAAGGAAGGGGGAAGGAAGGAAGGAAGGAAGCAAGAAAAGAATGAAGAGAGGAAGAAGGAAAGAAAGGGAGACTAAACTATGAAAGGCACAATACTTCTCTTTGTTTAGGCAAATTTGCATGCTGTGTGGAACTTCAGGATGCAAATGTCCAGGGAACCCTAGGCCAGGCCCGAGCTTAGCTTCAAGGATTAATCCAGGGCTGTGCTGCAATGTGACTTCCCTAAAGCTTCTCATTCCACTGGGAAATTTCAGCAAGATGTGTCAGTTCAGTTCTCCTGGTGGCTCTGCAGGATTCCTCCTTCCAGTGAAGGTCCCTGTGCTGCTCCCTGACAGCCTAGCTCACAGAAGCCCTGCAGAGGGGGCCCAGGCAACAAATGCTGGAGCCCAGAAGAATCAGGATAGCAAAAGAAATATGAATTTGAAACTCCTAAAACTGACCAAAGCTACAAAATAAATGAACTAGACTGCCCCGTGAGGAAGACACCCGTGATCACTGACACAATTAAAAGATTCTGCACAGCACTGATCTTGGGAAACGTGGCTCACAACAACTTCACGCTGTGGGGGGAAGACAACTTCAGAAAGGGAAACCGAGGCCACACCTGTGTCTGACATCAGCTCCCTTGTTCATGGCTACAGGTAACGTCCAGGGGTGCCTGCTCTGGGGCGACAAGGAGGAAACCCAGCAGCTGCAATCTCAATGTGCACCCAGAAGGATCATCAGGAGATGCTGGAGATACATTTGTCACCTATGGGAACAGCAGTGTTACTAGCCAGAAGCAGATGTAGAGGCAGCCAAAGGTCTATCAAGGGCTGGGCAGATAAACAAAGAGTGAGATCTTCATATGGAGGAGCAACCTCAGAACCATGAGACTGACACACGTGTGCTCATGTTGGAGGGCTCTCATGCCTTTACACAGTTAGATTAGTGATTTACTTTCAACATGGCTGGTGTTAGATGGGGTACAAACTTCATCACATAGCAGTCCTCAGACTCGCACACAAAACTGAGGGGTGGATTCAGGGCTTGTGAGAGGAGAGACACTTTCAGAGAACAGAATTTCAGGTTAGGAATACAGAATAATAAACTCTGCAGACCTGTGGTGATAACAGTTGCCGGACAATGTGTGTGCCCCTAATTCCCCCGATGCGCTGCTGAAAGGTCACATTTCCTGTTAGCCTATGGTGGCAATGAAGACAGTACAGGTCTGAGATTGTCTGTAAACGGATTATACCGCCTCAAATAGAGAAACAAAGTATTCAAAAGAATGTCGTATGACTCCATGTTTTCTTCAAGAACTTAGAACATGCTTAATCAACATTGTTCAAAATAGGTGACAGCAATACTCAGTAAACATTATTTTCTACGTTGTACTCCAGGAGAGTGATGAGGGTTGACATAGTTATGGTTTGTTTTCCTTAACTGGTCAAAGGCAGGAGCTTCTACCTACACATTGTAGATTTACAGTTGTCTCCTTGCTTAAAAGCTGTCCAAACTCCAGCTCCCTTCCAGCATTAAGTTCCCTGACAGTAAATCCCGTAAATTCAATCTCGGGCAGAGACTGAGGGAACACAATCAGAGGTGTCAATCAAAGCAGACTCCAAAATACTGGTCAGTTCCATGTTGTTCACCTGTGTTTGTACCAAGACCTTTTAGCGTAGCTGCAGATGTGAGACTAGAAAGTCAGCCGAGAGAGCTGATGAAGGAGATGAATACAAGTGCTCTGAGTCCCAGGAAACCCCTGCCCTCACTGCACTCCATTCTCTTGTTGGCTGGGAACATCTCCTCCCTGTTTGGGGATTGCCTTCTCCTAAAGATGCTCACTAATCCAGTTTCCATCCTTCCTGACACTGGAAGAAAGATCCCAGTGTCTGTAAGCACCAGGAGACCCACCTTAGCTGTGGAGTAAAGAGGAACACTCAGCTACAATATAGGTAACTACTCACAGACACCACTGACAACGGTTTAATCAAAATCTCTACTTGTCATACAAGAGCAGAGTTTGTTGGAAATCCACATACAGTTAGCTAGAACCTTCTTCCCTGAGTCAAGTGCCTAGCTATCTGTGAGAAAGAACACTTTCTCAGCAATTGTCACTAGATTGACACTCTAATTTCCTGAAGCATGGACCCAAGGCTCCTTTCCCCACTGTCCACCAGGAAGCCCACACCCAATGCCCCAGGACAGGGTGGACACCAGTGTCAGTATCAGTAAGTGCCTATAGTTCCACAGCCTGGAGGTCCAGTTCCATGGCCACCTGGTCATGCAGGGAGGGGTAACTGGGCAGGAACTCTGTCCTGGAGCCACAGATTTGGGTTTAAAGCCTGGATCCACATGCAGCTGGGACAGAGCCTGGGATCTCAACAGCCTCTGAAGACCTGAGACTGGGAAGAACACCTGCCCAGCTGTGGACATCGCAGGTGAGCTCCTGAGCTCTGCCCAGGCAGACTGGGAACTGTCCTGGAGGAGGGCATTGGAGAGACGCCTGCAGCACCAGGCAGACTCCTCAGGAATGATCGTATCAGCCCTAGATTTAGTAGACCTTGTGTGAGGATGCAAAGGAAGTCTGTTAGAGATTCCAGGAGGCCACCAGAATTCTCAAGATGCCAATATTAGTCAGTGTCCAAAAAGTTATTTTTAAGTCTAGGAACAGACAATATGTGTTTGTGCCTTAAACTCAAGTTGTCATAGGCATAACTCAGTGACAACAGGAAGCAGTATTATGCTCTCAACTGACTTGTGAAATCCATTGGTCTGCCCAGGCAGGTGCAAATGGTGTATCATGTGGCAAGCCTCCTGTAAAATGCACTGAGTATTGCACCAAAACCTTAGACTTGAGCCTGGAATTGTGGGCTAGTCTGTCCTTCAATCCCACATATATAAGTGACTGTCTTTGTGACCCATTCTCATTGAGTCAGTGAGGTGGGGTTGGGAAGGCACATCCCAGTTATGGGCAGACAGATTCCTAACTGTTATTAGGAGTATAATCTTCCAAGATATTCTAAAGAGACAGTCACAGGAAGTTTTCAGAAGGGAAGGCATCAAGGTATATTCACTCCCCTGGTGTATACACCGTTCAATGAAAATAGTATCTGGTCAATCCTATTCTTGCCAAATTTTTGTATGTATCACACTGTGTACAAGTCATGTTTACTTTGGGTGAGCTCAATACCAAAAGGCACGAAACCTGAGCCAGCTACCTCTTCATAAATTAGTTACTTCTTTAAACTTCTTATACACAGAGTGCACCAGAGCCTGTAGTGGGCTAAGTATACAGTGCACACACGCTCCAATACCTGGAAACCTGGGCAGTTGTTTATTGTTTTGGTAGACTGTCCGAATGCTTCCATGTGTCTATAGCAAGTCAAGCCTATCCTTATCCCTTTCCACACTGCTTGGGAAAGAACTGAAACAATGATTCAGATAATTCATACCACAACAGTGGCCTGGATTTCTGAAGTAGAAATGTGGTTTTCATTGAAGCCTGATGTCATCAGAATCTCATTTCTTTTCCATCCCTAGGTCTGGAAGCATGATTCCTATTTTCTTCCTGGCTACAGTTTTCTTCGGGGTGGTATCAGCTGCTCCAACACATGATCCCAGTTTGAATGCAGAATGGCAGAGATGGAAGACAAAATACAGAAAAACGTACATCAATGTGGGTACCATGGAAAATCTCAAGGGACCCCAGTGAGCAGGCTCTTTCATAGAGGGATCTTGGGCCTGAACTTACACTGTGGAAGCTTAAATTTCCTCCATTTTACCTGATGGCATGCATTAGAAGCACTGATGGCAAAGCATTCTGCTGCAGCTGCTTCTAGATAATCATTTCCAAGGGTGTCCAGCCTCCCTTGCTTCCCTTCTTCTACAACAATACATGCACTGAGGGGAACTAGGGCTGGGCTTAGGAGAAGGACTGTGCACTGTATTTATTTCCAGAATGAAGAAGTAGAGAGGAGAGCCTTGTGGGAGGAGAACATGAAAATAATTCAGCTGCACAATAAGGACTACTATCAGGGGAAGCACACCTTCACTATGGCAATGAATGTCTTCGGTGACTTGGTGAGTGTGGCGTGGATTGGATGGCATGGTGTTTCCCTGCTCTTCAACCCTTTCTAAGTCATCTCTCCCTTTGCAATGAATTGTTTACTCTTTCTTTAAGAGACCAACAGAATTGGCCCAAACACTGACTGCCTTCCAAAGCCAGGAGGCCAAGGAGACAAACATATTCCAGGAACCTCTGCTAGGTGATGTCCCCAAGTATGTGGATTGGCGAAAGCATGGCTATGTGACTTCTGTGAAAGATCAGGTAGGACACATCACACTCTCAGGTGTCACTGTCCACCGACATGTCGCTGGCTGCAGCATCACACAGGGCACTGCTTGTGCAATAGTGTGTGATTACGTGAATTTCTGCCAAACACCTTTATCAATTTTGTGGATGACAGCTTTTTCTTCACGCTAGGGTAATTGTGGTGCTTCTTGGGCATTTAGTGCCGTTGGTTCCCTAGAAGGACAAATGTTCCGGAAAACAGGGAAGCTGGTTCCTCTGAGTGAACAGAACCTCATGGACTGCTCCAGGTCTCAGCACAACAATGGCTGCCATGGTGGCTTGTTTACCAGTGCCTTCCAGTACATAAAGGACAATGGAGGCTTGGATACCAGTGAGTCCTATCCTTATGAAGCAAAAGTAAGTGGGAATCCTCTGTTGGCATTCCTCTGTCGGGTTTTACAAAGTAGAACGAGAGTGCAGTTGATGCTCTGTCCTGACAACTCTTTTCGTGATAAAAAATTCCTAACCACCATCAGTGCAGCCATTAAGGTGTCAGCCTTTGCATGCTGGTCTGATTTCATGGTTCCCATGTAGCTGCCCCTGCTTCTGCTCACCTGGATATTTTGCAAAACATTCCACAGATAGTGCAGATTTCTCCATGGTGGCCATTATTAATAGGAATACCTATGGGCGTGTCATTGAAGACATGAGAGCTAGCTTCTACCAGCCATTGAAATCTACCAGCTTGTCAGGTCATGTGACATTTCATAAACACACACACACACACACACACACACACACACACACACACACACACACACACACAGGGAAAGATCAGCAGGGGCAAATATCAAGCCACTGTGTGGATGACAAATCAGTTGATTGCACTCCTGACTCACCTTCCCCAGCAGGTGAATGGAAACAACCATGATATTTTGTTTGTTCCTTCCCCTTTTTCTTTCAAAGAATGGACCATGCAGGTATGATCCTAAGTTCTCTGCTGCTAATGTCACCAGCTTTGTGGTAGTCCCGTCTAACGAGGATGCCCTTATGAAGGCTGTAGCCACCGTGGGGCCCATCTCCATTGGAATTAGTAGTCGGCTTCGTTCCCTCCTATTCTATAAGAGTGGTAAGAGCATTTCAATCCAATAATTGATGAGGAAAATTTCTACCTCCACCAACAGCAGTCAATTATGTGATTTCTTTTGGATATAAGGTTTGATGTAAATATTTGGAGTTCTAGAATTTTCATACAGTGGAATAACATATTTAATATATTATTCCTACTTTGCATTAATTAAATCCCATGAACATGCATCCACATTCATTTTTAAAATTGGCAACACTATGCATTCGCTTATTTAATTTACTTGAACTGTTCCAGTAGTAGTAGCTTCAAGATTTTAAATAGCTTTTCACTTCTGTAGCTAGATCCTCTTGGAACCTCTTCATCTGGATAATGTTGCCTTTTGTGTGGTTTTCTTGGACTGAATCTCTGTAAACAGATACGATCTCTCACATTCATTCAAGCAAGCATTTCACTGAAGGATTGATGATAAACTTTATTCCTGCTATGTTGGTATGAGATCTTAGCTACCTAGCCTTGCTGACAGAAATTCTACTGTTAAGGCTTATCACTGGAGTTTGTCACTGCACTGAAATGGGAAATGTTTCTGTTACTGTTTATGACAGTCCTTGCTAGGAGTTGGTTGAAGCCTCTTACCTGACTTTGTTCTTACTACCCAGGCTTGTATTATGATCCAGATTGTTATAATCATTTCCCAAACCACTCTGTCCTGTTGGTTGGCTATGGTGAAGAATCAAATGGTCAGAAATACTGGCTGGTCAAAAGCAGGTATGAAGAGTCCAAGTATTTACATTTGAAATTCAAAAAGGTACTACTGTCTGCGGGCAGTGTTTGGATGCAGGTGCAAGCAATTTATCTCACAGATTTGAGCACCAAAATTTCAGAATGTGATTATCACTCTGAATGTGAGAATATGTCACAGTTTTGGGGTGTTAAGATGGAATTTTCACCACTGGGTGTCTATTTCTGAGCCATGTGAGGGTGGGAAGGTATAATATCCTCTACCTGATGTGATTTCCATAGTTCTATGTTAAGTACTACTAGTATTCAGGAGTTTGATCCTCTGTCTTAAATGAATCTATCAGTTAAGGGTGGCCTTGGTATTTAAATTGGGTTACTGTAATAAAACTACTATGCTGTGTTCTTTCTACTAAATGGTGAACCTGCTCTCCTTCTAGCTGGGGTGAAGAATGGGGCATGGATGGCTACATAAAGATGGCCAAAGATAGGAACAACCACTGTTCAATCGCTACAATAGCCGCTTACCCTATTGTGTGAGCTTCTGGACAGCAAGAAGGATGGAGCAGACTGGGGACGGCATGGCCAAAGGACAGCACATGACTGAAGCTCACACTCAAGCTTTCTACAGAGCCGTCACTGACACCCCAGTATGCACACAGCTCCTGTGCTGAGTGCTCTGCCTGCCACTGTTTCAAAAGCAACACTGGGTTCCTCCAGAGACCATGCCCCAAGACGAAGCTTTACATTTATTTCCTTCCTTCTTTCCTTCCTTCCTTTCTTCTCTTTCATTCATTCATTCTTTCTTTCTTTCTTTCTCTCTTTCTTTCTTTCTTCCTTCTAGCCAGAATTTTACTACATAGATGTAGCTGAACTGAAAACACATTGCATACAACCAAGCAGTCCTTGAGTCTAGATTGCCTCTGTCACCTAAGTGCTGAGATTGAATGGCTGCATGCCAAGGTGATTGCATTTTTCTTTTCAGCTGAATAAAATTTCATTATAAATATGTATTGCATTTTGAATATCCAATAAGAAATTTTGGGTGTTTAAATTCTTTCACTTTGCTATTTATCACGTAAAGAGCATGTCAGAGTATGTGTGTACAGTTGAGGACGTGGTTTCCTTCAGGCTTATGCCAAGAAGTGTACCTAGATTGTGTAGTAGATTATTCTTCACCATTTTAAGAATTCTCCACTCTGGCTTCCACAGTGACCTCACCAGTTTGTGCTCCTATAGGCAGTAAATGAGTCTTTCCTTTTCCCAACATCCACACCAAATTTATTTTCATTTTATTTCTTTTTTTTTTTTCAATTATTTTTTGTAATCAGTCATACAAGATGAGTTAGGAGAAAATCTAAAAGCAGCTTAATTTGAATTTCCTTAAATGATCTTGATATTAACAGTTTTTAAGTACTTTGAAAACATGTTTATTTCTTCTTTTTTTAGGACTCTCTAATCACATTGACTGATCCCTCCCCCACCCCCTTTTTCTCCTTCTGACCCTTGGCTTCCTGAAGTCTGTTGGAGTTCTTGGGATATCTGGATAGAAAGCCTAATGGAGCCTCTGAGTGTGGCCAAGATTGTTCTTCCCTTGGGGGCTTCTCTTTCGATCCTTTGATTGTTCCCAATGCAGCACCCAAGTTTTGTAGATTAGCTAACTCACCTTTTTCAGTTGCTGGATTCACAGCCTGCGATGATGGAGCCCCTTTCAGAAAGTCTATACCTGCACCTTCAGGGGAAGTTGCTGTCTGTGATTCCTTCCAGAGTCTCAGCTCTGCTACCCCTCTGAGCACTTGGAAGTGATTTTGTACATCATGAGAGATGTGTTTTAATGTGAGCACCAAGATTCACCAGACCCTGTACAGATGAAGTGAAGTTTATTCGGGGAGAATGCACTTGGACAGGAAAAAGGTGACTGCAGCCCATTCCTGCTCCAAGGAGGCCAACTCCGTCACCGGGATACTCTCTGCAACCTGAGTAGGAAGCAAGAGAGAGAGAGAGAGCTCCTAGCCTCAAACCTAATCCTTATCACCTGTCATGTCCACACTTGTGACCACTCCCAAAAGGGTGTGGTCAGTGCTACAGGTGTGGAGGTGAATATCACTACAATTCCCCTTGTAGTCTAAAGAAGATTTAGGCTTGATACAAAACTATACACTGTAGGGAGTAGGCTTTTCCGCCCACTGCTGATCTTGTCCAACCCCACACCAACCCCAAATAACACACCGAGAGACTCTGTGTTGGATATAATTCTGTTGGCCAGTTACTTGTTTCTTATCGGCTAGCTCTGTCTTAATTATTAACCCATTTCTATTAATCTCCATGCGGTCTTATCTTACCGGAGAGAGAGGCCACCAGCGTTCTACTTTCTCTCTCTTCCATCTTGACTTCTCCTTACTTTTCCTCTTTTCTCCTTGTTTCCTAGTCCCTCCTATCTTCCCTTCCTATTGGCCAACAGTGCTTTATTCATTAACCAGTATGAGAAACATATATACAGAATGGCATTCCCATCAATACACAATGATAGCAAATATCAAGTATGCTTTAGGAGAAGAAAGGGTAAAAACATGAACAATTTGAGACCCACTACCAGTGCAGCAACATCGAGCAATTGGCATGAACTACAGACATGGGTCTAATTTCTTTCCCTTGTGTGGACACCAAGGACTCCCACATCTTTGTGGCATTCTACAGCTATGTGTGCACAGACACAGCTCCTTGAATACTGAGACAAGGGCAGAGGTACCAGTGATAGAGCCAAGTGTCAGATTGTGAGAACTTGGCTTGTGCAGAAACCTTGCAACCAACATGGCATGTGCCCCAACCATGAGGAAAGCCAAGGGGGACCCTTAGTTGAATATCTTAGGAAACAAAAATGAGAAAAACAAGAACATTTACCTAATGACATTCACGATGTTGTTTCTTTTTGCTGATGAAACCTGGAAGGACAGACTAAACTTCATTTATGGAGAATCTGTCTACTGTTAACATGGTAAGACTACACAGAGAGACTTCATTGTCCAAGGACTCTGAAAGGAGGGAAATAGCATTCTTACAGACCCATGGAGAAGTCAGGAATTACAAAGCCTACCTTTAATTCCATGGGATGACAATGCCCCCATATCTCAGTTTGACTGTGGGTCCCTTTAGTACAAGGACTGCACAGGAGTTTAGACTGTGTTGATTCTTGTTCACGGAGTATGGCAGGAAAGAAAGTCAAGAAGAGAACAGGGAAAAATTACAGGAGCCTTCATTTCCTCCATGAAGCTGCAGCAGTTTCTCTCCCGTTAGACCCCTCCCATCACAAGCCACTGTTTTTCCTTTTCCTAGGCAAGGTTTCACTATGTAGCCTTCATGCTCCTGGAAATGGCTATTTTGGCTACAGGGCCAAGCTGGCCTCAAATGCATAGAAATCCCCCTAAGTGCTAAGGTTAAAATGTGCACAGCTACGCTGGGCCCAACCACTGAGCCAAACCATTTCCTTAGGAGTATTTTAGAGAAACACCACACAGGAAATGGTGGCAAGTCTGTCCCAGAGACTGGCCCCAAGAGTTGAAGGAAAAGTTGAAGATTCACTATTGGTGCCACTATGGACTCAGGCCTGTTCCCTTAGCTGGCAGATTTTACAATTTCTCACCCTTTGGGGGGGAACCTCAAGTTCATTCATAGAGTCAAAGTAACTCCTCAGATCGAAGAGCTTCCTGGACACAGGTGCCAATGTAAGGAAGATTACAGAGCTCCTGCTGGTGAGGGGGACAAACTCTAACAAACAGTTCATGGTTACTGAGAGTGGTCCACGAGTTCACAAGTCAGGGCAAGTTCAACACACTCTAGTGTCGTACAATGGGATTACACACATGTACCGATGGCCAAAGCTCCAACCATGTACAGGGAAGTTTCCCAGAGTAACTCATGGTCAGTGAGGTTGGCCTTTGGACACCATTCAATTATCAAGACAGAAAATTCTGGATACGACTGCCTATATCAAAATGTAATATTCAATTTTTCTCTAAATTTCCTTTTATATTTTGATTCATTATTTGATGTGGATGAATGTTTTGACTACATGTATGTCTGTGTACTATGTGCATACTCAATCTTATACAGTTGGTGCAGTTGCTATAACTTTCAGAGAATAAAACTGAGGGCTATTCATATCTGCCATTCAGCCTTTGTGTCTCCTCAAGCTTGGGATGGAGTTGTCAAGGCTCGAGAGCTGCTGCAGGTGATGAGTAAGCAACACATGGGGTATCCTGAGACCATTCCTGCACATGGCTCCTCATTCATGCTTTACCCTTTCTTTTCAATACAGACATTGCTGGCATAATGTTTCAGAAGGGAGCTATGTTGTTCTGCATAATTAAAGTTATCAAGATTCAGGAATTTCAGGAAAATATTTTTATTTATGAAGTCCATACACCTGCTTTTGCAGAGAGCAAAGTGTAGATGGAAAGGTCATACAAAACTAGAGCTCCTCTAGAGGGTGTCTTGATGTCTCCCATCATGCTGCTGAGGGTTTGTCCTCAAAAAGATGAGCATATATCTATACTCTAATATTTTTGCCCAAGAGGAAAGGCAATGTGTGTTCAAAGAAAATCTTGTGCACAGATGTACTAGGACAATTATATTATTCAAAAATTACAGGAAGAGACAAATACTCCTTCACGGGAATGGATTAACAAAGACAGTATTATATAAAGGATCGTTTTTGGTCATGAATCCATAGGAAGTACTGACACACGTCACAGTGTGGATGGATGATGAAATCTTCATCTTGAATAACCCAGACACAATAGATGGCATAAAGATGAATACTTTTTAGACATAGAGAAAGGGGGTGATTTATGTAAATGTAGAGAAGGGGAATTTCAGACTGAATATGATCAATACACGTGGCACGATTTTTAAGGTGGTGAAAGTGTGCTGTATCCAGACGACAGTGATGGATACATAACATAGTGAAACCATTGATTCACAGCATATTCATATTGAGAAGGTAAATTCTATGATATGTGCAGTATCCCACAAAGTAATGACGTACATTGTATGTAATATTTTATACATAGCACATACATAGGCAAGATTAATCCCTGTGCCATCACAGCCCATGGAGAGGAGAGTAAAGCTCCTCTGAAGAGACAGCCAGGTGCACACATCCCTAAGCTGGGTGTTCCAGGGGAGGACAGCCCCACCTCTGAGGACCAGTTACTCCTGGCAGGGAACACTCTGCTAGAGGAGATGCTGCTGTGGTGGTGCTGATGCAGACGATGTCACCACTGAGCAATGCTGAGGCTCCAGGCACAGCCTGAGCTCCTCACACCTGCCCCACATGTCATTCTCACAGATCCACTGGGAGAGTGCTTCATGGATGGAATCACATGGAAGGCCCAGGAGCAAAGAGATTACTGATCTTATGATGCCTCTGATACACAAAGCCTGGGAAAGGGTTGCTGAATGTTGTGTTCTAGCACATTCCCTAAAATGCACACTGTGGTCACTAGATTCACACTCTAATTTTCTGAAGCATGGACCCAAGGCTCCTTTCCCCACTGTCCACCAGGAAGCCCACACCCAATGCCCCAGGACAGGGTGGACACCAGTGTCAGTATCAGTAAGTGCCTATAGTTCCACAGCCTGGAGGTCCAGTTCCATGGCCACCTGGTCATGCAGGGAGTGGTAACTGGGCAGGAACTCTGTCCTGGAGACACAGATGTGGGTTTAAAGCCTGGATCCACATGCAGCTGGGACAGAGCCTGGGATCTCAACAGCCTCTGAAGACCTGAGACTGGGAAGAACACCTGCCCAGCTGTGGACATCGCAGGTGAGCTCCTGAGCACTGCCCAGGCAGACTGGGAACTGTCCTGGAGGAGGGCATTGGAGAGACGCCTGCAGCACCAGGAAGACCCCTCAGGAATGATCGTATCAGCCCTAGCTTTAGTAGACCTTGTGTGAGGATGCAAAGGAAGTCTGTTAGACATCCCAGGAGGTCACCAGACTTTTCAGGAGACCAGGTGTGGGCAAAGTCTCCAAAGTGTCAAGTCAGGCAATGCTTCCTCTGTAATTTAGCAGAGTCTATTTGATTGCTGCTCGTTACATGGGTACATGAATTATCAGTGTTCCTGTGTACAAGCTGCCATCTCCGTCACTCCATATGCCAATTCTCATATAAACGTGAAGGTTGAGGACAATCCTCTGGTCATATGTGGCATGTGCCCAAGGAGTAGCATGTTGGTCCTGCCCTTTCAGGAGTACCCCATGCAAAACCTTGTAAAGCCTAAATCTGGCATTAGCTTAACCTCCCCTTCTCCCTCCCTGCCCCCAAATTGGAGGCTATGGTACAGTTAGGAAGAATTCTGAGTCCTCCTCCCAGAATGGGACAGACAGATTCCTACCCGCTGTCCTTTCAAGATACTCTAGAGAAGAAATTCCATCAAGATTTCAAAAATGAAATGGCCAAGAGGTCGTCTGTCTCCTGTGCACACTGGCCAAGAAAAGATGGCCTGTGATCCCACCCAAGTCTTGCAAATCTCCTTGTATGTAATGGGGGGTCCCATTGTACTTCAGTTACCATTAGCTTGGGAGACTTTGGTTTCACTGGAATAAAACCTGGGCCAACTATGTCCTAAGAGGTTAGTTGCTTTGACCCTCAGTTGCATCCAGCTTCTGAGTTGATCTAAATGCACAGTACACACACTCCAAAACCTGGAGCCCTGGGCAGCTGCGCTCATTTTGTTTGACTCATGAAAATGTTTCGCTTATGTGGGCTTACAGCCTTCTTCATTCTTATCTGTGTCAATAATCACTGAAATGTGGTTAAAATAGTGTTATTTCACCATAGTGGCCTTAACATCTTATGTAGAAATAACAATTCGTTGAAGAATTTCTACGATGATAGTCTCAATTCTTCACCATATCCAGGTTCTGGAAACATGATTCCTACTTTATTCCTGGCCACTCTATGCTTGGGGGTGGTCTCAGCTGCTCCATTGCATGATTCCAGTTTGGATGCTGAATGGCATGAATGGAAGACAAGACATGGGAAAACATACATGATGGTTGGTGCCATGGAAACTACCCAGCGGCAGCACAGAGGCAATGGCCCATGCTGTGGAAAATTTATATAGAGCTCACATTATGGAATCCAGTTCCTCCCTTGCTTGATCACCATACATGGGCACTGATGGGAAATGGCCCTGCTGACATGGGGTCTGGGTTGTGGCTTCCGGGGGTTACAGACTCACTGGCTTCTCACCAGCAGGTTCACTGAGGGAGTGAGGGTGGGGCTTTAAGTGGAGAAAGAGCACACACTGTGTTTGTTCCAGAACGAAGAAGGGCAGAAGAGGGCGGTGTGGGAGAACAACAGGAAGATGATCGAGCTGCACAACGAGGACTATGCTAAGGGGAAGCATGGCTTCAGCTTGGAGATGAACGCTTTCGGTGACTTGGTGAGTGTGACAGGGATGACAGGGAAGGATTCTCAGATCTCTGTGAGTGGTCTCTCCCTCTGCAAACATTGGGTTACTTTTTCTCGAAGACAAATACAGAATTCAAGGAAGTGATGACTGGCTTTCGAGGCATGAGCACCACTGAGATGAGCCTATTCCAGGAGCCTCTGCTGGGGGATGTCCCCAAGTCCGTGGATTGGAGAAAGCATGGCTATGTGACGCCTGTGAAACACCAGGTAAGACACTTCACACACTCAGGTGTCACTGTCCACTAGGAAACTTGGAAGGAAATGACATCCATGTCTTACTAACTGTGGCTTGGCACAAACTTCCAAGTGTAATTATTAAATCTGAAATTTGCTATCAAATGTCTCTTGTAATTTTGTAGATGACAGCTCTTTGTTTCTTTTTAGGGTAAATGTGGTGCTTGTTGGGCATTTAGTGCCGTTGGTTCCTTAGTAGGACAAATGTTCCGGAAAACAGGGAAGCTGGTCCCTCTGAGTGAACAGAACTTAGTGGACTGCTCCTGGTCATATGGAAACAAAGGCTGTGATGGGGGCTGGATGGATGCTGCCTTCCAGTATGTGAAGGACAATGGAGGTTTGGACACCAGTGAGTCCTATCCTTATGAAGCACGGGTAAGTAGGAATCCTTAGTTGTCACTCCAGCTCAGATCGTAAGAAACAGAACAATTGTACAGACAATACCCTGTTGTCAGAATTAATCTTTCCATGATAGACTCCATCCTATTAAATCCTCACTGATGCCAATAAAGCGTCAGCCTCTGCATGCCGGTCTGATTCCATGGTTTCCGTGAAGCTGACCTTGCTTGTGTTCACTTGGAATATATGCAAACTATTCCACAAATAGCACAGGTTTCTCCACTGTGAAAAATTATTATCAGTAAGAATATCCATGGGGTATCATGGAAAATACATTAGATAATTTCTACCAGCTTGCCAGGACTTGTGAAATTTTATGAACACATGCACTTGGAGATCCTCAGCAAAGATGCTATGTCGCCTATGGTTCTTACTCATGGTCCTCAGGACGTAGATGGCAACAAGCATGATATTTGTTTTACCTTTGTCTTCCTAGAATACAACCTGCAGGTACAATCCTAAGTATTCTGCAGCTAATGTCACGGGCTTTGTGAGAATTCCACCAAGCGAGCATTTGCTAATGAAGGCCGTGGCTACCGTGGGGCCAATCTCTGTTGCAATTGATTCTAAGCACCCTTCCTTCCAGTTCTACAGGGGTGGTAAGTGAGCTTCTTCTCAGTAATCTCAAGAAAGGTGGGGCCTCCACTCCGCCTCACCCACTTCATGATTAATTTTGAGGTTAACATCTTGAGTTGTAAATATTAATTCAACAGGAACAATACTGATCTCTTTTGTTTGTGCTTGACATCCATTAAGAACAATCCCATGAACTTGTGTCTAGCATTGTTTCTTTCATTAGCAAGCTCAAGTTTTATGTCACTTAATGTTACTGGATTTTTTTTTTTACAGTTCCTTAATCTTTAGGGTTCTAAGTAGATATTCCCCTTCTGTAGGTCAGTCTAGGGGGTGCTACTCAATTCCTATATTTTGTATTTCATGTGGTTTCCATGAACTAGCACATTTAGCCAGAAATCAAGGTTCTTTATATCGATGCTAACCTTTTTTTGTGATTATTCTCCATATATGCTTATGTCCCAAGCCTTGCTAACACACAATCACTCCTGTCTGTCTGTCCGTGCACCAAAATTAGAAATGTTTGCATTATTGCTGGAGACAGCAGTCACTGTGGGGTCACTGCAGCCTCTCATTCGGCTTTGATTTCATCCACCAGGCATGTATTACGAGGCAAACTGTAGCAACGACTTAATTTTCCTGGATCACGCTGTCCTGCTGGTTGGCTATGGTGAAGAATCAGATGGCAAAAAGTACTGGCTGGTCAAGAACAGGTAAAACTAACCCCAAACATTCACATTTGAAACACTCAATGAGAAGTAACATTTGCAGACAGTATTAGGGTTCAGTTCTCAGCAATTAACCCCACAAACTGTGAGTGAAGAAGTTTTACAGTGATTATAATGATTAGACTGCCATGGTTTGGAGAGTGATAAGATGGAATAAGAACCACTGAGTTTCTAGGTATCAGCCATTGTAGGTGGGAGACGCCCTGTCCTTTCTCTGCTGAGATTCACAGTGGTGTATCATGCAACAGCTGGTATCCAAGAGGTGATTTCTGCCATCTCTCACGCTGTCAATTACGTGTGACCTCTGTGTCTGTGTCTCAATGGGGGTGTTGATGTAATGAAGCTTCTACTCAGTGTTCTTCCTACTGATGGTGAATACATTCTTCTTCCAGCTGGGGTGAAAACTGGGGAGTGAATGGCTACATAAAGATGGCTCGAGACCAGAACAACAACTGTGGAATTGCTACATATGCGCTCTACCCTACTGTGTGAGCCCATGGACAGCAACAAGAAGAGGGAACGGTGTCCACCGAGAAGGGCTTCCCTCTTCACGGACCAGCTGAGTCACTGAATGTCTATGCTATGCTATGAAACTCTGGGACATTTTACTGAGTCCAAACTTACTGCCACTCTGCTGCTATGTATTAATGACTTCTGATTTTTCAGTTTTTGTAAGATGTACATGATTTTATAAAAGTAGAAAAGACTGTATAAAAATTTGTAAAAGACGGACGGTGCTTCCTTGTGATTTGTTGACAGTGGCTTCTCTTAGTCACATGTGCAAGGGAGTGTGAAGACACAGTGAGGTGGCTAAGGTGTTTAAAGGGGAAGGGAAAGGCGACTGTGTCATCAGGTCAATTTTCCAGCCATCATCAGGGTTCTATCCAGACTTTTATATACTCTTCATGAACCAGGGAGCAAGGAATAATCAAAAAATCTAAATGAAATTTCTTGAAATTTTAATTTTTAATCCCACGCAAATTTCGAAAGTTTAAATCGTTTGCCATTTCGTGTAGTGAGATGGCACCGTGGGCAGTTGCACCGAATTGTGCCTGAACCTTAGCCCCGTTTTGAGAACATCAGAACAAAACCATTGCTTCCCTTCATTCAGTGATTTCATCTACACTTTTATTGTTTGAAAATTTTTACCATATATATTTCTTCACCTCTCGAATTGGGGGAAGTGTTGGGCCTGAAGGGGAGGATACTACAGTCCCAGAGAGGTTATTTGTCTCCTGCCTCAGAGAGGGAAATGGAATGTTAAACCGGATAAAAAGCGTGGTGTTGCCTTACAGAGCACAAGAGTGTCTCTCTGTATACAGTCCCTTTCCAAATACACGTGTACAAGGAGATGCCTTCATTAATTCACTTAACTCTGGGGAGGTGGTGGGAGGAAGTTGGCAGTGCGCTGGTCTGGTGTCTGAGATGGAAGTCGATTTTCCTGCCACTGCCCCTGTCCTGTCAAAGTGTTGGACTAGATGGCTTTGTTCATCATTTGTTTTGTTACTGCAGCAATTTTTTCACTAGAACACTTCAAATAACACCGAACAACAAAAATGACATAATAGTAAACGCTAGCATCTCCAACCCAGCGTCCGCATCCTCCAACTGCCAGTGTCACCCTTAATAATTCCCCCATACATTCTCCTTTTTTATTCTTCAAGACAAAGGTTTCTCTGTGTAACAGCTTTGGCCCTCCCGGAACTCACTTTATTGACAAGGCTGCCCTCAAACTCACACAGATCCACCTGCCTCTGCTTTCTGGGTTCTGGGATTAAAGGCGTGTGCACCACCACCTCTTTCAACCTTCCTTGTTTTCCTTATGAATTAACACACAGCTGATGGGGGATGTCATTCTGTAAATACCTTTCTCTTATTGGTTAATGAATAAAGCACTGTTGGCCAATAGGAAAGTAAGATAGACTAGGAGATGAGGAGGATTTTGGGAGAGGTAGTGGGAGATTCAAGTTGTAAGGTCTCCGGTAAGCCAAGACTTAATATTTGAGACAGAGCTAGCCAATAAGAATTTTGTTTAATTTAAATTTTGTTTATGTGACACATATTGTTCTGGGATTTCACTTTTGTACTCAGTGGTCAGTGCTGGACCCCTTCGGAGTCTGTAAACTTAGAGCAACATTTAATATCGACAGATACACACACCCATAAGATTGGGGTGCAACCATGAGGTTACATATACATGTTACATGAGATTGCACACGACAATGCAGGTATAGGGGACACAGCAAGCTGCTTTAGCACAAGTGAACTTTAGCACAAGTTTCCAGGGTCCATGTCCCGCAGGCCTTGCCTAAACAAGATTAAGCTCCATAAGAGCCATAGGCCAAGAAATTATAACTAATATTAAGCCTCTAAACAATTAGCTTATAAGTGGCTGAGGGTGCTAGTGGGCAGGAGAGAAACAGGCCCAGTGGGAGGGACCTGAGGAGACAAAGAAAAGCTCCTGGCTACAGTCCCCATTTATACGGGATGAAGTCAAGCCTTGAAGTCAGCGAATCATATGCCTCAAAGCTATGCCTAGCAGATGTGGACCTGAGCTGCCTGCATTCCAAACCCAGAATAAGGAGTAACGAGTTGAGTCAAGGCATACTGACATCAATCAGTACATGTTTTATGTGTCACATTGCCAGTCATTCTTCTGATGCGTATGTATAAGTGGAAATATTTCTAGACAGGAGCTTTAGAATAGTCTGTGTTTAAGGTGTGAGTTTAGTATCCGTAGGACCAATTTGTATTTATTAAGTCTATAACTTTCCTCAGTCAAAGAACTAATAAGAAAGAAACAGGTGATTGTTCATTAGTATCCAAAGCGGAAATCTAACCCGTGGGTAGAAATGAAGACTCAGAAAACCCGCAGTCTTGTTTATTAAAAGTGTAAGGGAAGGGGCTGGGGATGCTCGGTACTTAGGAACACTGCCTGTTCTTACAGAAGACCTGGCTTGGTTCCCAGCACACACACGACTGCTCTTCTCAAGGACCCCACATCCTCTCCTGGCTCTGTGGGAACCGTACACACATGGCAAACCGGCATACGCACCAGAAAGACACACATGAATGGAGAATGCAGATAAATGTTTGTAAGAAGGGAAGTCTCACAGCCACTATGGGACAGCCTGGGAAATGTCAGAATGGTATGTCTCCCACCCATGCACTGCATAAGAGACATAGAGATGGACACTATGCCAAAACAGTGTGCAACTCAGAGCCACTCCAAGGGTAAGCAGTCCACCGTCCACCCGCTGGAGGGTGGATAAAGAAAATGCAGCGTATTTGTAGAACAACAACAAAAATAGGTTCTGATAAGTGCCACACCCGGATTAGTATTGAAAGCATTCTGCTAAGTTCTAAAAGGCAACAAAGAGGACTTGTGTGTCTTACGGTCCTTTATATGGAATATACAAAAATGTCCACTCTGCATGCTGGATGTCTGTGGAATGATGTCACACATGCAGAGGAAGGGGCCCCTGCCGCGGTGCTCCACAAGAATAGGGAATTACTCCAGAGAAGGGGCCTTTCAGTGTGGGCCCAGCGGCCCTTTCTAATGAAGCGGAACACCCAGCTCCAGGCACTGTTGTGAACATTTGCACGTGCTTCTCCATCAACGCCTTAGGGTCTCAGATTCCAGCCTCCATCAAAACGGTTCAAAGAAGGTGGGGCATGATGGGGCACACCTTCAATCCCAGCGCAGAGGAGGCAAAGAGGCAGCAGATAGACCTCTGTGAGTTCAAGGGCAGCCTGGGCTACACAGTGAGACCTTCATTCAAAAACGAAAACAAACATCCTGTCTGCATGGCTCAGGAAAGTATATTGTTATCTCTGGAGGCTACATCAGGCACAGTTCCTAAGGGACAGGTGTCTGCACTGGTGCCCACGGTATAGATACATGAGTGTGACCACATCAGTGAAGGGTGCAGAATTACACAAGAGTGGCCTCAGTAGCCCTGTAAAGGGAAGATGTAACCAAGACGACCCAGCCTTTCAGTAAGCAGCACTCAGCTGAGCTCGGGGTCCTGGCTTTCACCCTTCCCTTGTACTCATCCCCCATTGCCCGCATCAATTTGATTTCCTAAAAGGAATCTCAGACTGAGAGTATTTGGAGAAGTGGAACAAACTTCAGCCCAGTGATCATCAGAAATTGAAAGTCCAAGGATTCCCCAGAGCCCTTATCTCTGCTTGCATTCCAGGTCATGCGCTGTCACGACAGAATCATGGAGAACAGAATAAGGGCTACTAAGGACAAGAGTTACCAATGGCCTTCAACCATAATGAGATATCTCAAGGATCAGTAAGACAGGCAGAGCACCATTGTAGGGGGGGGGGGGGGTTGGCTGGGGAAGAAGATAGGCTTAACTCAGAATACAGCACAGTCATGGCTGTGCCCTACAGAGCAGGAACGGAGTGCAACATCAGCAGGATTCTGGCCAGGCAGCCCTAACAGGATTCTTGCTGCAAGCAGACCAGATCCAGCAGCTGTCAAACCGGAACATGGTAGGGACAGGGCAGGAACCTGATCAAGTATGAAGTACAAACAGGTATTCAGAATACCGGTTTTGCTTAACTGACTTCAAAGAACTCTTTGCTAAGTGTGGTGCACAGGTGAAGCCAATAGAAACCTTTGGAGCCTGGTCCAGCTGACCCAAATGGAACCTTTGAAGGCAGCCTGGCTGGGCAGGGCTGGGGTCCCACATCTACCCGGCACCACCAGCATCTGAGACAGCATGTGTCCCTACACCTCATGGGAGTGTCCTCCATTGACCATTTAGAGCAAACAAAAGTCTGTCCCTTCCCAGGATCTATGCATTGTGAGGCTTTTAAGCCCAGACATAAAAACCCTTAATTGAAACAGTGGAGTTCATTTGTCCATCAACTTCCCCCACGTGCCCTGACCCTCTTCCCACCTGCTCAAATCATAGGCTTCTGCTTCCTGCTCTTGATAGAACTGTCCCTAAATCAGACCTGGAGCGCGGGTTCCAGGCGCCTCAACTCTATAGGGTCCCAGGAGAAAGAAACCAGTACCTACTGCATAGAACTAACACGCGGAAGCTGGCTGTCCTTCCAGCCCATTGCTCAACTGCCCAAAGCACCTACAAGTTCAGGGTGGGTTACACAGGCCCTAGACAAGGAGGGGACAGCCACTTCTCCAAGTGTGCTTTACACACACATGGCATCTCTGCTGGTATGATGTCCTCTTCTGTAGGAGAAGTCAGAGGGTGGCAAGAGGCACAGAGAAAGAGAAACCTTGAGACCTGGAAGAGGGTTTGGGGGCTACTAACCTCAGAATTAACCCCCACACATTGGCTCCTTTCCATTGCCTGAACCAGGATGCTGAGCAATAATCTGACTTAAACGTTTGTTTCATTATCTATGTCCCCGGCAATGAAAGTGGATTAGTGTGGTTGTCTATGGCCCAACGTGGAATAACCGAGGTTCAAAGAAAGGTAAACATGGGTGGGTTTAAAAGAAATATTCATGCC